TCGGTGTCTATTCTGCAAATGATTAAATACTGAAAGACTAATTGGAGATAAACATAAAGTTATTATAACCATAAGTTGCTGCCTTTAAGTCATACGATAGATAACACAATAAAGAATTTTCTATTTCAGTGGATGGCAATTCCATTACTGCGATTAAAGACATTTCCGGTAACAAAGGTAGCTGCGCCACAAACCACATTGCTTTTATGGGAATAAAACGAAATCGTATTGCTGTCAATGACGGAAAACATTGTATCAAAATCAATTGAAAAGGTTTATATTTTTTACGTCCTGTTTCTACACATTTTTCGCACATGGCGGGGTTGTGTGTGATATATTTTTAATACAATATGCCATTGATATTATTTGTAAATACAATTTACTTATAAAATCGGCATCTCAACTCTAAAGAAATAGTAAAAAATGGATATTTTTGATAGAGCCTAGGTAAAATCTTGTAGGTAATGAATTTTTTTTTGTTGTCAGAGACACTCGTTTGAACAAAATTTTAATCTCGGGAATTTAAAATCATGAGATTTTTTTAAATAAAGCTCTTTCTCATATTCTTAACATAATTTTCACATAATAAGCACTTTAATGTTGTTAAATAATTTACTACGGGATAATACCGTTTATAATTTACGGATATTTTCGCGTTAAATGCTGTTTCTTATTAAATTTCAATTAGCATAAGAAATCATTACTTGTATACTGTTAAAAAAATAATACTTCTATAAATCCATTACGATTAAAAGCATGCGTGCAATTGAAAGAATGTTAGATTATATTTGGCATTAGTATGATTTTATGTTACTAAAAACTACATTTTGAAAGTCACCCACTTTCAAAATCTGGTTTTTAAATAAAAGTCAAAAGTTCAAAATAAAAGTCTACTGAAAAGTTATACCATATATAATGTTATTTTGATTTTTATTCGATTCAAGAAAATGTAAGTCTCATATAAAGCTTTTCAAAACATTTATAGTATCTAAAGGATCCCCTAAGTGTGCTATAAAACAGTGAAAATACGCGTTATTTTGTTGCAAACACCTGGCGTAAGGCTTTATTGTTGTTTTATTGACTTTTTGACCTGCTTAGTAGCATTTAAATTGTGCACAATATATCAATCTGTTTTCGCATCAAGATGCCAGTTACAAATATTAATTAGTAGTGACCGCCTATTAATTATTATTTAAGCAATGAAGAACACGTCTATTTGTCTATACAACTTGATTTAAAAGGTGCATAATTAATTTTTGAAAGAAAAAATGTAATGAAAGAAAAATATAATTTTTTTTTCTGAATGTTTATGTTATGTTACAATATCAAAATCTTATAAATCTACTTAAATTAATTATTTTAAAATTTTCCTCTGTGACTTTGATTAGTGCACATATGCGACATTTAAAAATGTGCTTCTAATTTTTTTGTGTCTGTCCCACCAGTTCTATTATATATATGAAAGAAAAGAAAGGAACCGTTTTTGATAGTGGTTATAATGACGGAAATAAAAGTTTTCAGGGGGTTTGTCAGCCAAAGGTTAAATACAGTGATTCAAGAGGAAGGTTTATATATATAATATAAACCTTCCTCTTGAATCACTGTATCTGGTAAAAAATCCAGTGTGTTGTCTCGGCTGTTGCACGAATTGTCAGGCTCGTCCGGGTAAGTACCACGACTGTATAGTAGTAAAGTGGAAGTATAATACTTTCGCTTTTCGTCTGGTGAGCCCGAGCCCAATTTCCAAAAAGGGTTGTCAACGCATCTGCAAACCCTCGGGTGTAACATATGTCAATGGGTAGCGGTATTCACTTAACATCAGGTGAACCGTCTGCTCGTTTGGCAACTTTTCACAAAAAAAAAACATAGGGACAGACAGACAGCGGGACGACTTTGTTTTATACTATAATGTGATAATTAGAACACAATATAAAAAATAAAATAAATACGAAAGAACCAGGAGATAGAAAATATGGTGTCTGAACTCAACATTATGAGCGAGATTAAATCCTTGTATCTTGTATTAACTGATGTTTTTGCTTTCAGTCCCGAGACTATTAAAGCTTCATCTGACGCAGAACCGGTGGGCTAGCCAGAACCCACGGGTTTGGGCCCTCCGCTGTGGGTAGGGCCACGCATGTGCTCATGCGTGCGTTTAACTATGTGATTAAATCCGCGAGACTCCGCTGGCTTGGGCACCTGGAACGAATGCCGGCCGACGGAGCGGTGAAGAGAGCCAATGACGGACGACCTGGAGGCCGACGGCCGGTTGGGCGGCCCAGATACCGCTGGAAGGATGAAGTTGTGAAGGACTTCCGCACTGAACGCACAAAACTGGGAGGAGATCGCACAAGATAGGGCGCGTTGGCGCCAATTCGTGTCGGAGGCCAAGACCCGCTTCGGGTCGCTGAGCCAGCGGAGTTAGTTAGTTAAAAAATTTAAATAAAAACCATTGTGTACGTCCGCACGTAAGAAGTTATACTTCTTTAACGTAACTTCAATAAATATTGGAAGCAATAACTGAGCTATTGTTATTATAGTTATTAATCAAGTCGTAAGCAAGATTAAAGTATATATTTATTTAAAGAACTTTGATTGTTACTCTATAATAATAATTCTTTACCAACGCTAAAAAAGTAATTGATTAAAAAATGTAATAACGTAGAAATACTCAGTAATTTTTTTTTTTAACTAAGGTTCTGTATTAAACGTTTAAAAGGTATTTCTCCGAATAGTTGTGTGATGGATGGACGGTGTCAAGGACTACAAGTCTACTCAAGGCGTTATTTGATTTTCAAATCAAAATAATACGCGAAAATGCTCTGCATTAAGTATTAATTTGAGCCATTGCATGTTTGTTTTAACCATCAGTCAAAAAAATCGGAAAGATAATTAAAGTTCTTTATATACAATTTTTTAAATGTTCTGTCTTGAGTAAACAAAAGCGTTTCAAAAGTAAAAGAATTTTATTTAGTTTGTCATCGCTTTCAAATTCTGCATACAAAATTAAAATTTTTACAAAAAACTTTTGAGACTTAGTTGACACGAAATCCCATTACATGAAAAGAATACAGTAACTTATTTTTTTTAATCCGATTCTATTTTATTAAAGGCTAAAGGCTAAGAGCAATTCAAATTCGATTAATGACCCGACTGAGACTTAAGTGAGATTAGGGTAAACTTTATACTGCTTTATTTTGGCTAATATCGTTTACTGTAATCAAATATTATACACGATTTCTTTGAACATAGAAATGGCATGGAAATATTTGAAATTGGACGATTTCTTTGAACATGGAAATAGTATATTTGAAATTATTATAAACAGAGTTTGATTATATGGAAGTGGTTCTAATGTCGCAAAATATCTATAGATCTAAAATTTAAAATTTGTGAATTATATCTTTTAAAGAATAAGAAACAGATTTGTTTCTGAAATATAAATGGCAGACCAATAATTGAATTCATTAATTTTTACAATGATTTGCAGTATTATAAGATGCAAATAAAAGAATGTTATTATTCTTAATTAAAAGAAAATACTAAATAGACTACTAATACTTTCTTCACGTAACTAACTTGCATAGATACGGGATCCGCAAAGCATCTGTTATAACTTTGTAGAAATTATTAAAAACTAATTATACTTTACTACTAACAGAAAAAGATAAGAATGTAGCGTTTTCCGTTCTATGTGTGGGTAAGTCCAGGTGTAAAAAATATTTTTTTTTCATTTTTCTTACAATTTTTCCACACGGTGGGAAAATTTAAATAAGTGAATTTCTTCAGCGCTAATTAAAATTTACTAAGAGGCCCTTGATAGCCCTACTAAGTGGCCCTTAATAGCTCATAGCTCACTTTTAATTCAATATACCCGAGCAAACTGAGTTTAATCCCCGGTGCCGGAACCAAATTAAATTGGTAATTTTAAGAGCTGACGTATCACGACGTACGTCGGACGTACACCTATACCAGTGGTATCAAAATATTTAGATATGAAAAGTAATTTTCCTTGCCATTTTTTGTCATATTTAATTCCTTTTCGCAGCCAAAATATGTGTTTATTTTATAGTGGTAACGCACTGACGGCATTTGTCTGAAAGTACATGAATGCATCCTACATATGAAACCTTGACATGTTGACGCGCCGGACTATTAATCTAGACCTAATAACATATCACACGTACAATTTTTTTCTGAAATTTAACCTAGATTGTTTTTAGTAATTTATTAAAATAATAAATGGCTATTGATTTAGGTATTTTATTATTATTTCATTTTTATATTCCTACGAAAAATCGTTTTTTAAATTGTACCCGAGATCTGACATCGCTGCTAAGTAAGGGTACATTAGTCGATTTTATAAGCATAATATTAACGAAACAGCCGCAGCTTTTACCAATAACCTAATAAACTCCTTAGTAGTTTTACAGAAAATCAGTTATTTCACTAATATTTCTCAAAAAATATATAGGCATGCAACTAAGTAAAACAAATAAGTAAAAGGTTTTTATTGGTTCCCATGATAATACCGTGAAGTTAGTTACTTTGCAACTAACTTAATCCTGCCGTTTTTGTGCTGTTGGTGTGCACGCGCATTCTAAAAATTTTATTAGAAACGCGCAGAGCTTATAGCAGCGCGACATTTCTTGCCACATCGATTGCAAATAAATTGTGAGCTTGTGGGTGGTGACAAATTACGACGAAGTCTTTTTTGCTTAAAATTCATCAGCCAGTCTTCGTCGTGCCTTCCTATCCCGGCTATAAGAGTCACAAAAAATAAAACTAATACTGGTCTAAATTATATTTGGAAAAATATTATATAATATGTATGAAAAAGGCATTAAAGTGCGTCATTATTTTTAAAAAATATGTTCAATACCTCTTTTTTACATTTATTACTCAGCGCCCAATAAAAACTTGTATTCGCTTGTCCGAATTGGTTTCTGGAGTAGATAAGATATGCTATTACTTTTGTAGGAATCAACACATGGTTAGAGATGATAAATCTGTCACCGTCGGGTTATCGCAACGTTGACGAAGAACGGCGGACCGTAAGTAGCAAGAAGGTGTACTCAAGGAGGCCTTGGTACGCCTTACCGATTGATCCTATTGAGGTTATAAAGGACGGCTACAGTGAAGGCAAGTAAATAAACTCTCATAAATTATAATATGATACAGAAACACAAATGTTATGTTAGGGATTTTGTCAAAATTCGATGAACAAAATAATAAATTTGCATGTAAACGTCACACATTATTGTTTTACAACTATGCATTTTGTTTAAATATCAAAAATGTAGAAATGTTCCGACGAGACCAAATAATATATTACTTCCGATAATACATCAGGTTACGATAACGAAGAAAACGATCCCTCAAATGAGGAGGACTATTACGATCGTAGGCCGGAGTATGAAGATCCAATAACGTCACAGCACGTCGAAGTATTGCGCCAACTAGAGGCAGAAGCGTCTTCCCCGAAATACGAGCAGGCTGCTACATCAAGCTCAGTCGCTGAATTTTCTATCGCAAATGTTATTAATTTGAGGGGTGAGTCGAGTTAAATACACAATATATTAATAACGATATGTTTAGTCAAAAGACGAAACAAAATAATAAGTTGATTCCTCGTAACAGTTCAACACTAGCATCGCAATCACGTTTTTTAAATAATTTAGAATATTAGCCCTTAAGCTAGAAAGACATACATTAGGGTACAAGAAAAAGCATACGAAAACCAATACTTATCGACTGTAATAATTCATCTATGTTTTAATATTTTTCAGTTTACTACAACACTCAAAATAGTTAATGATGCAAAGCATTCTAACAATACGCGATTCACATATCATGTTAAACGCGTTTATTATCCGTGACAGTAGAAGTTTAATGGAGACCATAAAAGCGTTAATGACTTTGTATCAAATATTCTATTTATGGAACACTTATTATTTTACGTTACAGCACATAAAAATGACAAAACTAAAATATATGAAATATATGAACATCACGTACAAATTTAGGATTTTCCAAATTAGTTTTTAATATTTTCCTATTTTCGTACGCATCATTTCGTTGTATTTTCAGTATTAGACTTATTTAATTGAGTTGTTTCTGAATAACAATGTATCGTAAGCAGAATACTAAATTTAAAAAAAAAAACTTTATAAAATATAATTAAATGTACTTACAAACGTGTACGTACTTCTTTTTTCTGCCCTTATCCGACAAGATGGGGACAGCTCAGTTGTAAATGTGGTCCATGTTGTAAATGCTAGGTTTTATATATATAACCGGTATCCACCTGTGGTCATCTAGCTTGCCTTTGCGTTTTGGTTTGACACCACAAAAAGCTGTGATGTCCAACCAAAACTTGTCCCGCGTGGCAGTCGAACCCACGACCCCCGGCTCCGAAGTCAATAGCTTAGCAACTGCGATACCGAGTCAAAGAAGTATAAAGATACTTAAGATTGAATAATCACTTGTAACGTCTCAGCCAGTGTCGTTTTCCATCAGTATCCTTAAAAATATATAAATGTAACCTAAAAATTTTAGAGGCAGCACTGGTGGCCCTTGGTGGAGCAAGTGCAGCATTGGTCCTACTAATCGTAATGGCTGGAGTGTTCGTGGCTCGTCGTCGTAAAAATAGCCCGTCTCCCGTGCCCTCGCCACCGATTCTGGTCTACCCTCCGCACGACGTCACAGCGCCTTGTTATACGTACGTAAACTCGGGAACTCTAAAACTGTAACATGTATGTATATAATCATTTTGTCACGTGGTTCCAACAATTTGCTCTTTATATTCAACATTTTACTTACGTAACTACTGAAACTGATATGAAGAATTTCTTAGCAACGAAATGTTCTGTATAGTGTAAAAGCTTAAAACAGAGCTTAAAACAAAGATACGATGAAAGACTGATTTTTCTTTACATAATTTTTATGTAACATAAAGTGTAAGCCAAATTGGTTGAGCTGTAGGTAGTTTTCTCCTGTCTGCTCCTAAAGTATGCCAATGACGAGGACAAATAGTCCTTCGTGTGATAAGTTTAATGGTAAAGAACTTTGTACATTTTTACAAGTAAAGCTTACATTTATCATAATTTATTCTCAGGACTAAAGAGGTAAATTTTTCTCTGCCTTCGCTGCGGTCGTCATCTCTGGGGGAGTTGCGTGACGTCAGCGTGGGGAGCCAACCCGGGGAAATATTATGCCCACCCACGCCCACGCAGTTTCGATCCAATTCTTTCAGTAAGTTTTCATTTTTCTATTTAACAATTTTTTTATTGCGTTTAATCTATTCCTTTTTATGTACGATATCTGAGTTGAATGAATTTTTAAGCAAGAATGAAGAAGTATTTATTTTCCTGAACAACTTTTATGATTGTTCCCACTTCTTTGCTCAATTTATATTTTTATTTATAAATACATTTTTAAACGGATCATAAATATCAGATCGTGAGATTAGCGGGCAACCAGTACCATAAATAGCAAAGTGGAATCCACTATAACGAACTTAGGAGAATGATGATAATGATATTATATCTCTTTCCAATAGGTTATATTCCAGTTGCTAAAGAAGAAAAAGATATGAAGGCAACACGAAAAGTTACATTTATTAAAATTAAAATAACATTCTGATACGTTATAAATTATGTACGAATAGATAGATTTTGCCCAAATTGATCCTTAGGTGTCGTTAAGGCTAATTAATAAGGAGCAGTGATAAGAATTCCGAGTTTATAACTTGCTACTATAATAATTGAATTAATGTGTAAGTTATTTAAATTGCTAATTATTAATTCACGTTGCCTAAATTTGGAAAACATAACACCAAACATAAGAACAACAGCATTATACTGGAAAAGCAGACGTGTTTTTCAAGCGTATGGAATAGACGGATGCAACATATGTTATTATAACACATACACACATAACCATAATCATATAATACACCCGACGTAGTGTCCATTTCTTTATGGTATCCGCTAAAAACAAAAATAATAGCATGTTAATAAGCATAAGCAATCATATTATTTTTATCACTCAATTGTTTATACTTCTTTACTTTTATTATTCCTATCAATAACACCTGACATAAATTTAAACAAGAAAGTTCGACCTATTACCAAGTTGTGCTGTATAAATTATCCTAAGAGTTGTAAATATGGGGTAATTTCGTCGAGCATTAAACTAAGTACTGGCAGTTTGTTGACCGCCACTCCTCCTTTCTGTGGTATGTCAAGCGCTCTATTCTACGCGGTATGTTTTGTCTTTTAAATTCGATGTTTATATTTTTTTTAATGTGTTTTTTTTAGGTAAGGGTGTTCTAAAATTCTTTGTTTTGGAAAATTTAATAACCCTGCAAATATTGATGTTTAAAAAATTTAAATGTTTAATACAACTTTAAAAAGTTATCCCCTATATGTGTGTTCATTTATTGTCGCGATGGTAACGACACGCTGTATAAATAATTATTTGAACATTAATGAGTCAATGGCATCGTCCAACATCTTAATTCGTTCTATCCTTTTTTAAATATTAGTCACGTTCGTTTTAAAGAGCCCTTGTTAGACGCTGTACGTATGTTTTCAGGCAAAGAATTTCAAAGAAGTGTAGCGTGTACGTTGCAAGAGTTACCGTAGAAAGTGCAAAGTTGTTTAGAAATTTTAACCTTTAGGTTACATGAAGGTCGGATATCCACTGTTTAACGAAAGTCATTGAAAATTATCTTTATGATATAACGGAGAAGTTAGACCGACGATAATTTGTAAACAGGAAGCCATTTAAGCTGACTTGACTTTCAAAAATATGATCATATTTTATAAGATTAAAAACATATCTAACCAATTATGGGTAAAATAAACATCTGCACTAGCATAAAATTTGTTTCAACAGGAAGAAAACCCTAGTAGTAGGGTGTTCGTAAATCCCCGAAGGCTTTACGCCAGATTTTTCTGACCTGTGCTCTCCACGTTTTTTAATAGTATTAGAAAAAGGAAGGCACATGGCTTTGAGTGTCAATTTTAGCCAACAATCTAGGACTTCCGAATAACAAGGCTTGACAGATACGCCAAAACGCGATAACCAATCAAATACATGAACCAAGTTTATATTTCAATTCGCGTTATGGATCAGCGTCAGTTTGGATGTAGATTTCCAAGTTGTCGGCATACAAATAGTACTCGCAATAAAGGCGTGTTTTAGTATATAAACGCTGAAAAAATGATAGGAAGAAGTATACCGCTGTACAGCATCTCAGATCTGCCCACTGGGAAGACTCTTGCTCCATTTAGACTGATTGCTGATGCTCGCCAAGATAAGAAGAGAAACAATCCAAGACTGAGGTCGCAAAACCCAAGTGCGTAAGAATGAACAGATGGATATCTTTATCAACTGTGTTAAAAGCATTAGAGAAATCGACAAGCACCATAAATGCCACTTCGTTTGTTATTGTTCATGCAGTTGTGGTGATATGTCCGGGGCAAAACGCAGACTGATAAAGACATAACGATTTATTTTTATGAATAAATGTTTGACCTACTACTACTAATAGCTTTAGATTTGTTTACCAGCATAGTTTTCTTTATCTCATACTCACCAACAGGAGAGAAATTAAAACAATATTAAATGGAAATTGAGAAGAAGCTACGGAAGCTAAAGTTTGAGCTTGGATTGTAGAGTGCATTACAAAAACAGAGCTAATATGTAGCTTAATTCTTAAGATAAACAGAAGGATCACTATCCATAGAAGGTGACTCACCGACACCAATAAAACTAAGAAATTTCCCCATATCCGTGAACAATTATTTACGTTACTATTGGCACCAACACACACTATCTGATAACACCTATTCCTAGCAATCCTAAGTCCTTAATAGTTCTCTTCAGCGCGCAGTATCTTATATGGAGAGAAGGACCGATTTTGTATAGCCATTGCCATACATCATCTGTCATCCATGGAGCTGGAGGGCATGAGTTTCACTTTCAAAACCAGACCATGAGCATCACTGCCAAAAGATGTTTCCGCACCTTCTTATATCAAGTACACGATGTGACGTCGTGTCGCCGCGTATAAAAAATTATAAATTATCATGAAATATCCATTTAAGTTTCACAAACTATGGACCATACTCGAACACTTTGTTAAATTAAATTACTGTCGTAGGGCCACGCACAGTGAGGTAGCCGGGATCCACTTTATTACAACGTGGCAACACATCTACAACCCTATGAGTGTTGCAAATGTCTATGGGCGGCGGTTATCACTTAACATCAGGTGAACCGCCAGCTCGCTTGCCACCTCACTTAAAAAATCATCAATATATCATTAGATGAGTTAGCTAAATTTGAAAGTCGACAGCGCAAACAGTATTGATCTGATTGCTTATCATTTATATTGCTACCCAACGTGTTTACATTATATTAATTGCTTAAAGATATTCTAGCATAATTGATTTAAATGTTACTTGTTTTATTAGGAATAAATTTGAAATTAAGGTAACTCAGGTTTTTTTGTCTCGGTAGCATAGTTGTTGGTGTTAGAGGCCATATGGGGTTCTATTCCCATATGGGATATTTGTGTGACCCTCAGGTAATTGTTTTCGACAACACAAAGCACCCAAGTCCGGAACAATGTTGCGTACCTGGGTTTTATGTGCATATAAAAAGAAATAAAAACCACTACAAATACTATTCATATTTAGTGTTAACAACATGATTTATCTTTGCCGTGCTGACCATTTAGTTGGGATAAGGGTAGGAGGATGATGTTGGTTTTCACTTTAACGTATTACAAATTTTATCTAAAATGATAGATTTATTCAAAGTAGTTTTAAATTTTAATCAGTATTGAACCTATTCCACGTTACCGAATTTAAAGTTAAAATGGCTTTTAATAAAAGTATGGAATACTAATTGACGGTTACGGTGTAGAATGGACGAAAACAACTTAGCTGATTTGGATAAAGTTTTACATATAAAAGTTATTAGTATATTAAAAGTTACATTGTTTCGGGCTCTTTTTGGTCTGAGTTATCCAACCTAAAGTAATTCACGCATTTTATTAATGTCCCATCCATTTACCTATTTATTGAATCAAAGTCCTCTTAATTTTATTCCCATTATATTATACAATTGTTACGTTTATAACAAGAGAATATTATAAATAAAATACGTAATGAATTTGTACACGTTTAATACCAACTGACGCTCGTTACAAACACTGCGCGAACACGTATTCTATTTTTTACGTAAATATCCACTTACAAATACTACAACTTACATTATATTACACAAACTCATTTCATTATACATTGTTTTATATATTTATATATATGTAGATAAGAAAAGACCTTAAGAAGTACAACTTCAAAAATTGCTTCAGCTAACACAACGGAACTGGGAGTTTTGGATCCATCGCTGTACAAAACTGATTGTTTGGATGTTGATCATCTGTGGCCCGAAGGACACGTAGTAAGAATTTTTTATATTTACTAGATTTGCTGGCATTGATTTTATTCGTCAAATGAATACGTTGATACATTTATAAAATTACTTCCTAACTAGGGGCGAGTGTGGTTCACACTCAAATATGAATCGGCAACCGAACGGCTTCAGATCCATATAATAAAGGCAAAACATTTACCATCTCGTACACCGGCTCTTGCGAATGCATGTGATCCCTTCATAAAGTAAGTAAACAAAAATTATATCGGAAGTCTTACTTGTTGTGTGGCATCCCAGGCATTAAGATAATTATGTTGAACATGACAAAAATATATATAATTATTAATGAACATCTCAGCTACATAGGAAACTAGGTACTATGAAATTATTAGTTAATAATTTACATCTTTGTCAGCATTCTCAGTAGCAGATGTAAGAGGATAGAGCTGAACGAGAAGATAGAAATAACCATTTCAATTTCATTTCGTTTCTATTCAGTATAATATCGTGACGCATTCATGAAATTAGTCTAGGTAAAAGCTCTTAATTTGGCTTTTGTAGGATTCAACTAATGCCTGATGAAAGAAGGGTGCTCCAGACTAAACAGAAGAAAAAGTCATGCAATCCATTCTTTGATGAAACTTTTGTTTATCAAGTAAGTCTTCCATCATTTTCATTAGCTTCTATCTTCACTTCTGAATCTTATGAAATGAAGATTTCATTTGTAACTGAGACGCATTTAAACCAATTTAGATACCACCGGGAAAGTTGGATACGCTGACTTTGAAATTGTCCGTGTTGGACGCAGGAAGGATTGGAAAATTCAAACAACTTATTGGGCACATAATACTACCCCTTAGTGAACTGGAAGGTGTCGCATCGGATGAGGAGCCACAATTATATAAGTTGGATATCGAAAAAGTATGTGCAACTGTATTTTCCGGATTAGGTGATATTTCTTAATAAATATGATATTGTGGACTGTAAGAAATTTGATTCACGGATTAGGGTTTATTCAAATTATTATATTAGGATTCGTGCTTCGGCTTTTTCAAATATCACATTGGTTCGGTAAATACTTTAAAGAGAGTTTGTAATACGAGTTCATTCGAACAGTTTTGCGTTGAATCGTTAACATAGGTACTCATCATTGTGACCTACTTTCCTCGTAAAATAGATAAAACAGTTTCCGACGCGTGGGTATAACTTTCCGGGTCCACGGCGGATTAACGTAAGAATTGATAACGAATGTTTGTGAAATTCGGGAATAATATCAAAAAATTATTATGCTGATTAAAGTCGTTGTTAAAATTTTCGCTTAACAAATTTTATTTTAATTAACCTCTGTAACAATTAAAATGTTACCTTTGAAGGATATTCAAGAGCCACCATCAGACTTGGGAGAGGTTTTAGTATCCTTGACTTACAATGAAAATCTCAACCGGCTTTCGGTTACTGTCATAGAAGCTCGGGGGCTTAAGGTAATCGATATATTCCTTGTTTAAATTTTAGCAGTAAGTCACTATTCTGTACTTGATAAATACATTACATAACGGTTAGCGCTGTGGTTCAATTCCCACATCTATCAAAAAAAATTGTTATCTCTTTGCCCATGTTTTCATGTTTGTACAAACCTCATTTTTCTAGACAAAATGTATTAAATATGTTTTCATAAGATTTTTATCCCCGTAGAGTGTGTAAAAAGACTTCATTTCTTAAAACTTGAGAGAATATTTCTGTTTTTGTATATATATTAATATACACTTGGGTACACCTGCCTTTCTTGGAAATTGCCGCAGACTTGCAGGGATTGTAAATTACGGCAAACTTAAAAGGAGCTTTGGCGTATTTGTAGTGGACTCATTTTTGGGAGTCATAATAATCGCAATATTCAATTTGTGTTTATGTACAGCTGGATCCATCATCGAGCAAACGTGAACTTGTAACTCGGGTTACCCAAGAGCGAGCTTGCAGAGGGGCCCGCGCTAGAAGAACAACAGCCGTTGAAGTAACGGAAGATGGCGCCGCCCTCGTATCGGAATGCTTCCATTTTAGGCTGCGACCAGACGAGCTGCATACGACTTGTGTGACTGTGCAGGCTCTGCAGCCCCACTCCGTTTATGCCAAAGGTATTTATTTTCTTCCTGTTTTCTACCAATAACATGCATATACATGTATCAGTGCTGTGGTGGAGCTACGAAAGTGAAGTAGTTCTACCGATGGTAGAAGTAAGAGATTTTAATTTTGTTTTCTCTTGGAGCGCGGAGGAAAGGGGGAGTTGATGCCTATCTATCCATTAGGGTTAAGGATAATTTTGCGGCCAAGGATTATACCAGTATAATTGCATCGTCTAAAAACGCCACCACACACGTTCAATAGTCAGTCATGACTTTAATTAGGGTCCATTAATCTTTGTCTCTTTCCTTTATAAAAAGAACTGGGCTTTTGGCAGTTTATTCTAAGATTAAAAAATAATGACCAGCTAAATTATTTATTTTGGCTACTAAGAAAATCGTTTAGTAGTTTGGCAGTAAGAAAATTGTTAACGTTTACCTTTTTTGCAGATCGTTTACTAGGAAGTTCGTATTAGGCTCATATATGTTTGCTCGAGGACGCGCGCTCCAACATTGGAATTCAGCTCTCGCCAGCCCCATGGAACAAGTGAAGCAATGGCACCCATTGACTAACTAAACTGATAACCCCGCCAAAACGATGATTCAATATTTATTGTTGCTAATAAGATATGTGTACTTTACAAGTTTGATATTACCGTTTATGCCTACTCAGCACTTTAATATATCGAGTACACTTGAATACTGTATGTTCGCCAAACTTTTTTGTATTTCCATGTCTTTGCTGTTTAATAACATTTTATTATAAAAAGCGATTCCATTGTTTCTATCTTATGATTTTTAATACATTAAATTAGCAAAGATATTATTAATATTTTTATATTACCTATTGGGCCTTTTGTCATTGTAATTATGTATTAAATGTTTATTTATACTCCATACAAATTTATGTAAATATTTACATATATAGACATATCGACAATTCGGATACATATTTTGGGATACCTTAAACTGTAATTTCGAGTCATACACCTCTAATATCTTACATAAATTATTTTTAAATACTTAACAGCTTTTTTTAATAAAAATTTAAAATTATGACTACTACTACGTATATTACATAAAATATTAGATAGTAAAACTATTTGGTATCATTATCACATATTTATATCTATTGACATATATAATCAACATCTTATTACATGTAATAACCATTTAGTTATTTTAAGAACAAAGCAAAAATAAAAGGTGTAACGCCAAATTGGAGAAATTTTGCTGTTTTATTTCAGTCCTGTCATCTATTCTACAAAATGTATTGAAAAGATATTTTTTTACGTTTTGTGATCCAAACTGGATATTGAAATGTGACTAGGCGGTACCTTTCACCATTTGCTCTAAAAATTGAAAATATTATATTCAAAACTGACATTTTGTAAGCTCGTAGCTTTATTTCAAACGGACAATTGTGATTCAGGAATTTCGCGTAATTTTTATGAGAGGAGTCTGAAATCGTTACTGATACCAGCAATTTATTGGTTACAATGACGCGGGTGGTGGGTTAGGTTACTCGCGTAAGTATTTAAGTGACCTAAAAATATACTATGCCGTATATTTGTTAGTGTTAAACTTGTGTGATATGTAATTGAAACATGTACAGAACGTAATTATCCTTAAGGATATAAAAATAAAAACAAATTTACGGTCGTAGGGCCACGCAGCAGCCTCGGCTGTTGCACGCATGGGCAGGCCCGTCCGGGTAAGTACCACGACCTCACAGAAGACCAGCGTGAAGTGTAAGTATGACAAATACTTTCGCGTTTCTTCTGGTGAGAGGTTGTCAACGCATTTGTAACCCTCGGGTGTAGCAGATGTCCATGGGCGACGGTATTCACTTACCATCAGGTGAACCTTCTGCTCGTTTGACAACTTTTAACATAAAGAAATACCATTGCGTCTCTTCTCCGTTTTAATATGCACTTTGAACTTTTTGGTCTGCATAGTTACTCTTTTTAAAGTACCTAATTAAAGTAGCAAACATTGCGTACCGTAATCGAAACAAACTGAACAATTTTTAATTTAGTTTATGTAGCCTTAAATGCATACGTTATCTGAATTTAAGTTCGTAACAAAACTCAATTCAATTTGCTACTTGTTTGTTGTTATTGGGTAAAAGTTTATTTGCGGTAAATGTAACTTAAATATGTCAACAAGACTTGTTGAACAAGTCACGCATAAGAGGCTTCTGCGAAGTTTGTTATTTATTGTGTTAAGACTTCTTTTTGGATAGAAACGGCTGCTTTCAGTTGACAGCAAATAGAATTCTGGACCACAATCCGTGAATAGTTTCTCGCTATTTTTTGAGTTGGTTACTTGTGTTATAAGTACTTCAAACGAATCAGAAATTAAAAAAGTCCTATTTTTGTACATTATCATAATACTTATTTAACAAGAATATATTTTTTTTGCAAATTTTCTTTCTTTGCGAGCTCACTTATCATTGTTACTCGACAGTTTGCAATTATTTACGAAAAGGTAAAGTAATTTATTTTGCTTATTAATCTTACTTATTGTATGCATAATTTATTAGGTACATAAAAACTAATCACAATTTTATTGCAATACCAGTTAAGTTACTTACGATTTTACTGTATTTTTTTTTATTTATTATTATCACTGGATTGTGATATATAAATTTTTCGTAAAAATTATTTGTTACCTTTTCTCATTGATACAAGTTTATTTGACGAGATAGATGAAGACTAAATTTTATCCAAAATATTAAAGAAATTGTGATCTCATGGTGGAAGATATACTCCAAAGATCAAACATCAATTATGTAAAAGAAACATATAAAAATAAATAACGAGAAGTTGAAAAGGTCTCGTTACCTTACATAAAACTTTAAACTCCCACACATCTTGAGTTTATTAAATCTCAATAAAATACACATGGCGATAAAATACGTAAAATACTTTAAAGTCTAGTAGACACTAGAGCCTCAAAGCTTTGTCTATACGTCTGAAACAATATACTTTAATCGAGGTCAATATTTGCTTCGTAGAGAACCTAATAGGATTGCTATATTTACTCTCTTACAAGAATGTAATACTTCGACCGCCGTAAACCCCACCTTAAATCGAATTATTCCAATATTTACTTAGGATCGCGATGCTATTACAGCATAGAAATAATTATCAGAAGCCGTTATACGTATTTATGTAACACATTCTAGATATGCTTTAAAATTATATTAAAGTCAAATAATATTTGCTTTCATAGCAGACTTGTTAAAAAATTAATTAAAATTAATTATTTTTTTTTGATTTTACTAACCAAAATATCATAATTAACATCATGTAAACTAATATCGATGTTGATTTAAAATAAAAATTAATTATTAGGTGATGGCTCAAATACTTATAATACTTGCGTTAAGAAATTATATAAAATGCATCTGACGTCGATAAGTATGAATTTTTTATTAAACTGAAACTGAAACAGAATTTCTGGGTAATTCATTTATACAATATTTAATTAGTTAGGTATAGAAATCAAATATTTAAAAGATGGGTATTTCAGATGCTGTTTGGCAAAAATATATTTCAGTTGCTATTTGAACCAAAATTAAAATGATGGGATTTCTTGTCTGTGGTGTTGTTTTAATAATGATAAGCTTAATTCTAAATTAAGCCACGTAACATGATAAGAATTTACATATTTAATATTTTGTAATCTTACACTGTAAACTTTTTATAACTTTTGCAGTCAAACGTTTTCATATGAAAACCGGAGATTTACTTCTAGTTTTTTTTTTTTATGAAATTCATTTACTTTAATATATAAAATAAAAGAATGGTTTAGAAGAATAACATTCATAGTAATCTTGTGCTGCTTTAAACAATTTGGAAGTAATTCGAAATATAAATTGCCAATATTTCGAATACAATATATGTTAATCGTAAAATAACTTTAATATTGATAGATCTTTATAATAGTTTATAATTTATTTTACGTTAATGCAGTTTATGCAATCCCGTGGATAAATCACAATATTACCAAAGGATCATTGTAAAACACATAATGATAGCGGTAACTGTACAATTTGTACAGTTACCGCTATCATTATTTGTTGTAAAAAATTCAATTGTGTACAAAAACCAAAGCTATGTATAAAAAGGCAGCTTCATATGAAAAGCGAAACAGCAATCACGGTGCTTCAAAAGAAATAATGGGCAGGCAATTACGACCTACGCCATATTCTGCTGCGGCTTATAGTGCTCACAAAAAAAGAGGATTGAATATTTTTGTAGCAACTCACAAGACCTAGAGCAAACGTAAATAGAAAATACACGACTTCATCTATAAGAATTACGTTTTGAGTGACATTAATGAAAAGTGAAAAGGTAGTGAATGTGAATCGAAGAAATTTTTACATCATATCTTACTTAATAAAAAGTGTGTGTGTACTTATGTACACGCGTTAGAAGTTATACTTCTTTGGCGTGTATCGCGTGCCTTATTCATTTATTAGAAGAATTTAATACATTGAATGTTTTATTATAACGCATTATCTAGTTAAATAAAGTTTATTTAAATATCACAAAATAAATATCGTGAATATAGTTGTCAGTTCTCACGCAAACATAAGAGATGTCTAGCTAACTTTAGGGTGTCGATTTTTCATGACGGTGTGCGCGTGCATCGAAAAAATTTACTCGCAATATTTCTCCCTAACGCGCCAAAAGAAGTATAACTTCAAAAATCCAAAACTATCTAAGTCGGCAAATATCCGTGCTGTTGTCGTCAGTAGCCTGATATGGATAAGGGTCCTTTCAGGAACAAAGCTTACTTTTATTCATTTACAACCACTGTTTGCCATCTTATCATAAGAATTATCTTGTGAATGCAAAGGAAAACCATTTAACCATAACCATAAGAATCCCATTGTAACTCATTCTCAAGAAAACCATATGCATGCTATTTATTTAGGTGTTGCATTTTTTATTTTTCATTAGCTTAACGGGAATCAGAGTGTATAAATAAAATTTTGTCTTTATTCCTGTGGGAGTTGCGACATGGGAATTGGAAGTATTGATAGAATGAATGAATATTACCTGAATAAAATTGATTCGAAAACGGTACAATGTAAAGTCAGGGAACATAAATGACATATTAACTGAAAATAAAAGTTAAATGTTTTAATTCTTATTAAATGAAACTAGTTTATGAATGGTCCGGATATGGACTTTCTGTCTATTACGACTGTGAATTATAAAATCAAAATTAAAACGTGATAAAATCCGTAATCTAGTTACATTTAATATGTTTTAGTTCTTATTATTTATATACCATAGTTTTTATCAATATAACCAAATAGTGAAGAATATTGTAGTATCATTTAGATACTTACTGAAATTATTTAATTTCAATTACAGTTTCACCTTTTATGGTCAACATGTGGACCAAGTATGTATAAGTTGTCTAGTAAATACATTCCACCGTATTGACCATCTTA